TGGGGAAGATCAACTGGGCAAGCTGCATGGTCCACTTCTTCCAGAAATCTTTTCCCATGTAAAGCTCAGGGTTTACGGACTACTTGCACTTTTCTCAATGGTCCTAGTGCAAATGGCTAGAGCACAGACAGATTAGAGAATGCGGGAGTTGATGATTGGCTCGGCTCCAAATCCGATAGGAGGAAGGTGAGAGCACTAAGACTAAGCCCTGGAGGAGGTAGTGACTCCGAGGTGGTGAGCCGATTACAATATGACAAAAGTTTCAATGTGTCAATTACAGTATGACAAAATATCACAGTAGTGGTAAGCCGCTGTTCAAGCGATAGAGCGCAGGTGAGAGCATCAAATTGAGGCGGTTTGAAGAACGGTCTTCGAGTAGTCCTAGACCAAGCTCTTGATGCCGTACCCTCAGATTGGTCGGAGCGTGGGAATGCGAAAAGTTCGCCGGTCACAGTTCTAGGCCGTCAAGATTTAGAAACACTGCTAGCTGAATTCTAGATGATTCTGACGCTGTGTGAAAGAATGGGTCAGTTATAGTGTTTCACAAGCCTGGGCGTAACCTTGAAGAAATTTAGCAAAAAATTATTAACCAACATTGGTAAGAAAACTACCTCTTTGATCTCTTTGGGCTCGCAATGGTGACACCGAAGTCGTTGCGATTCTAAAAAGCCAGCATAAGCTAACAATTCTCACATCGCTGGGAAAACCTGCAACTGCTACCTGGCTACAGAAACCTCCAAACACAGCAAGATCGTGCGTCGTTGTCGATCCATCGCCAGATGTTCCAGGAGGCGAACACAAATCGTCGTATAGGCGCAATGAGGGTGACAGAAACGGTGTATGACCCTTTAATTATGATATTTTTCAAAGAGAGGATTTCTCATTGTCTGGAAATCAAGTGGTCAACACTCATTTTTTTTTTCAAAAAAAATTTGGCGACAGAAACTCATGATTTTTCCCGAGGCGACACGGGTAACAAGGCCCAGCTTTTCCAAAGAGATAAGAGTGTCAGAAAGAAATTGAAGTTCACAAATGGACTCCAAATTTCTACTAGCCAGAGACTAGAAAAAGAATGTTCATTTTTTCTAATCTTCGACATCCTGATTTTTGAACTTCGATATTTGGATCGAAGACCAGGAAGAACGCTGTACAGAAATCAGAAGTTAGAATGGCTGCTACACCAGACGTCATTTTCTACCATTTTCTACCAGCTTTCGGAGGAAGGGTGTGTGAAGTCTAAAAAGGGCCTGCTCAAAGCCAACAATTGCTTCAGTTATTCCACTGTGCTCAGAATTACGACGTTGGGAGATCGGGACGATTGTCATGGAATCACGAGA